GCTCCTCAAACTGCTCTGAACAGTACTCTAAGCCACTGTCAGTCTCAAGTGCTTCAGTTTGATTTCCATCTTATTTTCTGTGACAGTTAGTCAGTCCTTGAACCTCTGAAAGGCTCCATCCTTTGATTTAAGGATGAAAACCCATACCTTCCTGGTGTAGTCATCTATGATGGACATGAAGTTTCTCCCTCCTCCATGAGTCTGAGTTCTGGCTGGCCCCCATAGATCGCTGTGAACATAGTCAAGGGGTTTCTTTGATGAGTGAGTTCCGGTAGAGAACTTCACCCTGGTGGCCTTCCCCAAAACGCATTGTTCACAGAATTCTAGTTTGCTGACTCGATCTCCACATAACAGACTCTGCTTGGACAATTCTTGTAAGCCTCTTTCACTTACATGCCCCAGTCTCATGTGCCATAATCTGGTCCTGTTAAGTTCTGATTGAACTGCACTTGAGAAGTTGTCGATCGCAATTCTTCCAACTAGTGAGTATAGTCCATTCTTTCTGACTCCTTTCATGACTATGAGAGAACCTTTGGATACTCTGATGCAGCTATTCTCTGCTTTGAATGAGTATCCACTTGACTTCAGCGTACCTAGAGAGATCATATTTCTTTTGAGTTCCGGGACATACCTGACGTGCTGCAGTATCCTTTCAGCTCCATCGAACATCTTGATTCCGATTGTCCCGCTACCGACTACCCTGCAAGCTTTATTATCACCAAGTAGAATAGACCCACCGTTCTCTAGCTGCAGTGACTCAAACCAGTATTTATGAGAACACATGTGGAAGGAGCACCCTGAGTAAAGGATCCACTCCCTGCTGGATACAGATTCTGTGATCGCCAGAGCTTCAGCTGAATCATAGTCATCTGAGGCTACGCTTGCCTCTCCAGAATCTCTGGGCTTCTCCTGAAAACTTTTCTTTCTATCCGGACAGTTCCTTCTAAAGTGACCTTCCTTGTGGCAGTGGTAACACTTGTTAGATCTCTTAGAAGACTGACTTCTGCCCTTCCTTCTGGACTTTGATCTG